GTGACAGGTACTCTTTAAGGTGATGCTGGGGGTCCAAAAGACCCCCAGTGTCACCTTTACACTGGAAATAAGCTATTGAAGTGCAGATCGCACTTCAATAGCTTATAGCTGGGGTCCAGGAGCCCAGAACTGACAGCCCAGGGACCGGAAGTGATGCAATCTGCATCGCTCCCGGTACCATAGAACGGGGAGGGGATCGATGAACGGAAGTTCGTCGACCTCCTCCCCAGCTCCCCGCGGACACCAAGATCGCCGGGCCCGTAGGAGGGGCAACTGAGCACGGCGGGGGGGGGGCGGCCCCTTCTTCGGGACGCAGAAGCGATCTGGCGACAGGTAAGTCGCCAGGATCGCTTCTGTTGTAAAGCCGACAGTCGGCTCTACAAGTTTAAACAGAGTCCCGGCGGCAAAAGTCACCGGGAGTCTGTTTAAACAGCCCCGATGCTGGCGACGTACACTGTACGTCGTCAGTCACGAAGGGGTTAATTAACCTTGAAAAGGATCAAAATATAACTAAAAACTATTTAATTCAATAACCCCTGTCGGCTTATTTTTTGCTATCCGTGTCCCACTGAGGAGATGTCACTATCAGACAGAAATTGAAGGGAAACAGGAAAGGAGAAGATGTCCTTCGAAAGTGAAAGAAATTCCCGGTAGTTAGGGTCGGAACTGGTGTCCCCAGTGGAAGATTTCCCATATTTTCCTGTTCTGAAGACAACCCAAATTTGTTTTTTTCTTTCACTATCAGTGATAACAGTCACCAGGACAAATACAGAGGGTGAATCCTAAACTGGGACACAGGCCGCAATAAAAAGCTGGCAGTTGTTCTATTCCCTCTCCACTCTTTATCTAAAACTAAATGGAAAAGTTTTGGCTTGGCACTTTAATACTGAATTGGAGACCTTGGCAATAAAATATTTCCTGAATTAAAAATGTCCAAAATTGAAAACACAAAAGATTTTCCCACTTTATTTGAACAGGTGGCAATGGTAATCCGCACAGAAAGTGATGAGAAGTCAAAGATTTTTCTGTTATCACCAGAGTAGGAGTTGAGGGGAATGTAACAATGGGAATATCTGTTCTGGGGACAGCTATCTAAGAAAGGCTAGTATACCATACTTCAGATAAATTTCCTCTCGTTTTATGTTGTGCCTCAAGGACAGATTGCTACCTGTGGGAATAGACCTCCCACAAATTCTGACAAGGATTCTAACCCTTCTATAGTATCAAAAATGTAATAAAAGAAAACAAAAAAAAAGTTTGGGTTTAGATGTTTCTTAAAATCATTATTTTTCCAGTAATCTCATTTCCAGTTCTTCATTTGTTTCAGAACTTCAGGTGTGTAAGCCTCCATATCCAATTACAGATGGATCATTTTATCCTATTAAGGAAGAATATACATACCAAGAAGCTGTAACATACCAGTGCACTGACAAAAAATTTACACTTATAGGACAACCTTCTCTGTCCTGCACCACTTATGGAAACTGGAGTTCTGATGCCCCTAAGTGTGTTGGTAGGCACATGTGTATATATATATATATTTTTTTTTACATGTTATTTACATTCTCACGAAAGGATAACATTTTAGGAAATAATCAAAGTCGCTGATTTTGATATTTGCACAACTCCTCCCAAGAGCAAGCCCACTGCTTGCATCTGGACTGAGGAGTCGGGGTGCTGTAACGTTTTTGAGAATTTTTGTGGCACCTTCCTGCAGCAATAATCTGCCTGCAATGCACAAAGAAGCACATGGACCCAGTGAAAATGTCAGTGGGTCTAAAGTAAGGCATGTAAATAAGGTGCTATCTGCACCCTTTCAGTCGGCATCATTAAATCAGCTAATCGAAGGAGCTGGTCGGAACGTTCTTGTACGATGGGAGCTGGCAGCCAATGAGCTGCCCGCTCATTGGGTATCTTGACAGCCTCAAGTAAACCTGTATTGGCTGTAACCCATTTCAGTAAGGAATAACTAACATCAGATGCTCTGGAGGCGTCTTTGTGCTTGTGGTGTTACTAGTCCATATCCCCTCACATTCTTTGTGTTGCAAGCATCAGTACAGCAATGTTTTTTTCTGTACACTGAGCTGTGCATGCAGAGCTAAGTGCACAGGCCCTATCATGCTGAGATGAAGCAACTCCCGTGCTTATGTGTGGGAGTTGTTATCGAGGTCCGGCCAATCAAACGGCTGAAGATTCGAAATACTGAAGAAGAGCGGGTGCATGATGAAAGCGCCGGCGAGGTGCTGGAGGAGATCAGTTTGGTAGGCAAGTCTGTCATAATGTGCTAATATGCTGTGCTGTCTCCATATTCCATAGTGAGTTGTAGCCTTAGGACCGGTCCCTAGTGGTAGCTGTCAGCTCTCCTACTCCCTGTCTAACTGTTTGCCATCCGCTAGTTGTAAAAAAAAAAAACGACGGACGGCAAGCCTCCCATTGGCGGGCAGAGAAAAGCTGTCAAATGCAAAAACTCCCCTGCACCCTCACCTTCAATCCCGGGCTCTGCTGCCTCCCCTGCGACCCGGGACCGTCTCGGGTGGGTATCAGGAGGAAGATAGGAGGGAGTTCAGCATCTTCCTCCTTGCTGATCTCCCTCCGACGTGTGAATGTGTAAGTGATGTGTAATACATTAATTCCACATTCAGCTGTCATTTCTCTGGCTGCTATAGCCAGAGAAGACGCGTATGAAGCAGATCTCTGCTTCATCAGCATCTTTGTGGGTCCCCAGGGGACTTAGAGTCCCCTAATGTCTCCATAAAGAGGACCTGTCAGTGTGCCACACAGTTTATCGTAGATGAAGAAATCTGTTGCACTTTTTCCATCTGACCATAGAAAATCTGCAGATAATCTATAGGTGTATGGCCAGCGTCTGTGTTGTGCATGGGCAGTGAGCCCAGTATTAGTGGTTTCTGAATCTGCGCACCCTCCTTAAAAGCTGACATATTGTACATGTGTGAGCAATTTTGTGTGGACCTACAGTGTTCCTTTTGAGCTCTTTGCTGCTTCCAGTGACAAAGTCAAAGATGGCAACCACAGCTGACTAAGAGTACCTCTTGGGAAATCCCTAACTTGCATCCAAGGTTCCGGTCCCACAGTCCTTGCCTTCCAAAGGCCCTGCCACAGACAGCTCTGATAACTACTAGGGATGCACAGATACTTTTCGAGTACCAGTGCCGATACTTGGCATTTTCATGAACTACCAGGGTTGCAGCTGGGACCCGGCTCTGGTGCTCCACCACTGACCTGAAATCATTAGTCTGTATTGTTTTAGAAAAACTGTCACATGACAAACAAAAATGTATCAGTACTTGTAAGTACTCGGCAAGTATCAGTACTTGCAAAACTGGTATCTGTGCATCCCTTTTTTATTTATATTTATAAAAACAAAATCATACATTAAAACAGAGATGTACAAATCCCAGGAGCTCCGTGTGTTCCATACAAATGACAGCTGCCTCCTAACTTTTGAATTTTTCTCTAGTCTACCCTTGGAGCTCAAAAGTATCGGTACATGTACTTGTACCGAGTACTGTACTTGGTATCTGTGCAACCCTAATAACTACCCCCTGCCTAGGTCTTGGCACTCTTCAGGGTTATCCTTCACCCCTTCTGGGGTTGCTCCCTCTATGATCCAGGGTAGCACTCTCTGCCACAATGTGGGAATTTATGGGGAAGATATTAGCCATGTCGGCTGATTTAGAGTGCAAGGGAGGCAAACGAACAGCTACATTCTCTCCTCATGAGTCAATCTGACGATAGCTGCAGCAGCATTTGCACAGTCAACTGAGGATGATGACAATAGTACCTTGTCTCCATTATCCTCTTAAAAGGAGGTTGGAAAACGCATCTGGAACACTTGTGAAATGTTTGCCTGGGGAAATACCTTTCTGATAAGCCCCTCTTGTTTCATTGATATGCTAATTTTCTGTGGTTTGAGATATAAAGTCTTAACCAATACATCTGCCGATTTTTACTTAATTTTTGTTGTTTTTTTGCACAGTTTTTAACTCCAATTTGGGCCAATCGATAAAATATGTTTTTGATAATTTCTACCTTTTGGTTACATTTGCTTAATTTACCATTGGTTTGCTAAGTGCTTATGATTTTTGACTGAAAAATGGTCTATTACCATGACAGTTTCTTTCAGATATCTTATGGGATCACTTCTTTCTGTCCAAAAAATGTTTGGGATGCCTGTGTCCAAGTCCAGGTTATTGATGTATTGCAAACCATTGCTGCCATTCTGAACTCCTAGGCAACAGGTAGCATCAGGCATAGCTGTTGACACGGGTGTCTTGCTCTACGCTGTCTGTGTCCTAAGGTACTAGACTACAGGTAACTCAAGGATGTTGAACACTAAAGAGGGGCAGAGATAGGCATGGACCTGAAAAAGTCAGGGTAGAGCAATTTTGTGTGTGGTGGTGCTAGCCGTGAAAAGGCAGAGAAAATCCTGCCAGCACCTGAAGCTTCAATAGACATACTACAGGCAGCACTGGAAAAATCAATAGGAAAACCCTAAAAAGCATGCTGCATGCATGCATGCATGCAGTTACAGTTTTGTAAGGAAGTTTATGTGCCAAGAGGTAAAACTTTGAAGCAGAGAAACCATCAGAATACAAAGTCTCTTACTTGTTAGAATGCCCCCTCATGCTTGGAATTGCACATTTAAGAACCAAATACAACATTAGTAGCAAAAGAAGAAGTTTACTTGCCCTATACCCCAGCTTTAGTCCCTAGGTACCTAGGCAAGGTTGATGTGAAGGGCCTTCTGTCAAGATCCTAGAAAAGCTAAAATTTCAAATGTCACAAGGAGGTGCTTCCTCACTCTGCTGGAGTGTCTTATGATGAGATTTGGGATCCTCCACTTTCTCATGAACTCCCAGAAAGAATCATGCCATCACCCTCCCCTAGGCACTCTTGGCAGAATCTGGGATATACAGCACCAATTGCTAGTTAAGAGTGCAAGTTTTATTCAAACAGTCTAATATTTAAGTATAGGGGTGAGTTGATATCACAAGATATTTTATAATTTCACTTGTCAGTTGTTAACAGAGTAGACAAATGTCCACTAATTGAATTTGAATACACAGCTAGGGCCTGGAAATCGAAGAAAAAAATATCCAGCTTTTAACATATGCATGTTTTGTAGTCAGATAAAAGTGGGCATCTTTAGACTTCGCTGCAAACTACAGTAGGGGACAAAGGATCTATGCACATTGGGCTCCCGACTGTCTGGAGGGCTTTTTTGTCCTTTACTTGGTTCGTGTTTGTTTTTTTTCTATGATTATGTTTCAACTTGAATAAAATCCAAAATATTAGTCGCAGGGAGATTCCTTCTGATAGTACTTATTATGAGCTACATTCAAATATAAAATTGTGTTGGTTTACAAAATCACATGGAGACCAACAAAACAGTCATATAGGCCCTGCTTGCGTCAGACATGTGGTGAGTGGACTCACCAACCTAGCCATCAAAACCAACTGTTCTGTATAACCTATGGCCTCTCTTTCCAGCAGGGATTAGAGTCTGGCCCACATTAATATTGCAATATATTGATTAGCCTGGAAAATTAACATTGTATTCATCTGGGCGAGTATTCAAAGACATGGCATTTACAAATTTTTGGCATTCTCCTGCTAGCAGGATAAAACAATATTGTCAAACTGTAAACTTTTTTTTTTGTTCTCCTTTTTTTCTTTTATAGCCAATAACCAAAGTTTTGTATGTCAGTGTCTTTCGTGTCCTTTTGAATTGTAACTTATGTACATATCTTTTATGCACTGGCTGCTTAGGGATATCAAATTATAAAATGAAGTGGCTTCTGTGTACTAAGCTGAGATTTCATAATCCTAAAGAAATTGTTGCATGTGTTACCATAATCTGTATGCTTGGTTGTAAATTTACTTTTAATCAATAGAAAAATGCTTTCTGTGATTTGCGGGTTGCAAGCAGATTAGAATGTATAAACTAGCAGATCTGCCTTGCGTGCGCCTAGTGGATCAGTCGCCTGACAAACTGCAAGTAGTGGAAAACTGCAAGTAGTGGAAAGCTACCCTAAGTCATGTGTCTGGTGTGCGTGGACAGTGGATAAAGTGATAACGCAAGGAGTCTGGCATTTAGGATAGCTTGAGAAATCGCAGAAGTGTGTGATAATCACTTAGCTGCTCCGTGGCCCTTAAAGTGAACCAGATTTTATGCCAGATTTTTATCTGCCTGTTTGTGTCCAGCCACCTAACTTTGGATGAGTCGCTTATCCAAAATTAGCTGGTGTTGACCAATGGTATTAAGGCTGTGACAGTTGTTTTACACCAGTTTTTTATCTGCCCAGAATGCTCTCCTCCTCCACCAAACAGGGACCCTGCTCGAGTTAGTGAGTCACTGCAGGTGGTCCACTCTTGACAGTTATGTATCCAAAAGTTGGTTGGAAGATTAAGCTCATGTACTTTTTAGATCTGCAGGGTATTTGCATTGTATCCATGTGGTTAGTTCACACATTTTATAGAACCTAATAGGTTCTATTTATTTTTTTGCTGTCACCGGGTGGAAGATTTTCCAACTTTATTTAAACAGGTGGCAATGGTAATCAGGACAGAAAGTGATGAGAAGTAGGAGTTGAGGGGAATGTACCAATGGGAATATCTGTTCTGGGGACAGCGATCTAAGAAAGGCTAGTATACCAAACTTCAGACACACTTCCTCTCGCTTTCTGTTGTGCCTCCAGGACAGAGTGATTCTTTCCTATGGGAACAGACCGCCCAAAAATTCTGACCAGGATTCTAAGCCTTCTATAGTATCACAAATGTAATAAAAGAAAATAAAAAAAGTTTGGGTTTAGATGTTTCCTAAAATCATTATTTTTCCGGGAATCTAATTTCCAGTTCTTCGTTTCAGAAGTTCAGGGGTGTAAGCCTCCATATCCAATTACAGATGGATCATTTTATCCTATTAAGGAAGAATATACATACCAAGAAGCTGTAACATACCAGTGCACTGACAAAAAATTTACACTTATAGGACAACCTTCTCTGTCCTGCACCACTTATGGAAACTGGAGTTCTGATGCCCCTAAGTGTGTTGGTAGGCACATATATATATTTTTTTTAACATGTTATTTACATTCTCACGAAAGGATAACGTTTTAGGAAATAATCATAGGTCTCATGTAAGTATTTTTGTTACTGCATTCCACAACATAAACATGTTTTTTTTTTTTTTAAATCATTGAAGGGTAAGTGGGAATAGATGTACATTCATTTAGGAGTACTCAAGCCTTAACTTATAGTTTCTCCAGGTTTCTCCCCTGAATTAATTAGGCTTACTTTGGAAGCTGCATCAAGTCTGATTGAACCCACCTCATTTACCAGCTAGAAATCCCATCCAGCATTATTTAAGCTTTTTCCTCTCCAGCCTTGCTGTTCCTGGTATACCCCTTTCATTCATTGGCTTTCAGTTCTTTCAATCATGGAGTCTCAGCATCAAATGTGGGTATTATATAGGGTGGTTTGCATGCAAATGCAGCCCGCCTAGGACTAATCTTCTCCAGACGGAACACCGATTTTTGATATTTTCACAACTCCTTCCAAGAGCAAGCCCACTGCTTGCATCTGGACTGAGGAGTCAGGCTGCTGTAATGTTTTTGGAAACCTTTTGTGGCACCTTCCAGCAGCCATAATCTGCCTGCAATGCACAAAGAAGCACATAGACCCAGTGAAAATGGCAGTGGGTCTAAAGTAAGGCATGTAAATAAGGTGCTGTCTGCACCCTTTCAGTCAACATCCCTCAATCAGCTGATCGAAAGAGCTGGTCGGAAAGTTCTTGTACGATGGGAACTGGCAGCCAATGAGCTGCCCGCTCTCAAATATAATGCATATAGCAGGATTCCTGAATTGACACTCCCCTAAGGGTTGATGGAGGAATCTGCTCTATTTTTCTCATTCAGCCCACCAGTTGAACGAGAAAAATTGATCAGTGTATGACAACCATTATACTCGCCTAATCCTCCGAGCCGCCTTGCTGTTAGACCGGTCTATGGTGCCTCTCTAAGGTCCCATAAATCGTCATGTTCAATACACAGAGTATAGATGTAAGGATGCTGAATAACATTTAAGTGCTGCACTCTAGGAGGAGACAGGCTTCAGAGACTGGAGAGGCAGACAGCTGGCTCAGCGGTTCAGGTGAGTATAACTTTTTATAACGCCAAAATGAACACTTAATCCTTGCAGTGTGTGGGGTAGCCCCACTTCAGTGGTTAAGAACATTTTTGCCTGGAGTCCCCCCATAGACGTCACTGGGGTTTGCAGTTAACAAATTTCCCACAAAACGAACCAGATTTGCTCATCACTTGTTGGAAGGAAGCCCCATTAGGGAGGCTTTTGGGGAAAGTAAAACAGTAAATCTGTATTGGCTGTAACCCCTATGAAGTTTCAAATAAGGAAGAACTAACATCAGATGCTCTGGAGGCGTCTTTGTGCCTAGTCCATATCCCCTCACATTCTTTGTGTTGCAAGCATCAGTACAGCAATGTTTTTTTTCTGTACACTGAGCTGTGCATGCACAGCTCAGTGCACAGACCCAGCATGCTGAGATGAAGTAACTCCCGTGCTTATGTGTGGGAGTTAAGTTATTGAGGCACGTCCAATCAAACGGCTGAAGATTCGAAACACGGAAGAAGAGTGGGTGCATGATGGAAGCGCCAGAGAGGTGCTGGAGGAGATCAGTTTGGTAGGCAAGTCTGCCATAATGTGCTAAGATGCTGTGCTGTCTCCATATTCCATAGCGAGTTGTAGCCATAGGACCGGTCCCTAGTGGTAGCTGTCAGCTCTCCTACTCCCTGTCCATAACTGCTTGCCGTCCGCCAGTTGTAAAAAAAAACGGACAGACTGCAAGCTCCCATTGGCGGGCAGAGAAAAACTTGGGAGGGTGTGAGGAGGAAGATGGGTGGGAGATCAGCATCTTCCTCCCTTCGGCGTGTGAATGCGGAAGTGATGTGTAATACATTACTTCCACATTCAGCTGTCATTGCTCTGGCTGCTATAATAGTATAAAATTGATTTCAGTACAGCGTTGCATGAGTAAATAAATGTCAAAGTACCACAGCGCTGAATACCGAAAAATGGTCTGGACAGGAAGGGGGTTTATCTTCTGTAATTTTTCCTTACTATAGTAAAAAATAAAAACCCCAGTGGTGATTAAATGCTACCAAAAGAAATCTCTATCTGTCCCCAAAAAATAGTATCAGATTTATTTCAGTACAGTGTTGCATGAGTAAATAAATGTCAAAGTACCACAGCGCTGAACACTAAAAAATGGCCTGGACAGGAAGGGGGTTTAACACCCCGGTCAGCAAGTGGTTAATTTAGGCATATTTTATGTTGAGATCAATGAAACGTATTGTCATAGTTGACCTTGCCCAGTGCTACATAAAGAGGACGCTAATCAAGATTTTGCTATGGGGCCCCAAAGTCTATAGTTACAACCCTTGTTATGGTACATAAGTTTGTTATACCTGGCACCACAAAAATCCCAGCACCTAAAGTATGAATAGAAAAATGGGTAGGGCAGTTTTTTCATTGTCTTATTTACCACAAAAACCTTTACATTAAATATTGATTCGAGATTTCCAGAGAAAAAGGAAAATCCACTATTTTCTTGTGATTGCTTATTGTTATTACCCCCGCCTGCAGCCTTTATGTTGCCATAGAATACGATTGTATTTTTGTATGGTTGCACGCTCATTCCAGATGTCCAGAACAAGTGAGCCTGTTGGTGAATCATGTAATTGAAATTATTGTTTGCATGGCATTATGTAGATGCAGTAATACATAATTCTATTTTGCCTGGAAATATCACCACCCATAACCTTTTTAGTTTTAAATGGAGTGGGGATCAATAAGATCCTCTGTCGTGTTTTATTGCACTCTGTTGTCTATGTAACAAATTTGCCATTTGAACAAGAAATGAGAGGAAATCTAAAATAAATCATTTTTTGCACTGCTGCTGTGCCTCTGTTGGAGAGATTTCCTCTGATTTCTTGTACTGTCAAACACAGGGGCAGCAATTAAAACCATCAGAGGTTCTTACGCTTACCCACCTTAACCCAAAAGAAAAAAGTTTTGGTTGGAATTCCCCTTTACGTTTTGAATGTTTGTTTATAGCCGTTTTACTAATCTGTGTGGTGCAACAATTTTTTTTTTTTTTTCTTAACAAACTATATAAATGTATTTTGCCTATTTACAGATGTACCATGTCCAAGTCCAGATGTTGCCAATGCAGTTCAATTATCTGAACTCACTGGCCCCTACTATATCAATGTTTCTGTCACATTTATGTGTCATCCAGACTTTATAATGAACGGATCTAACTTGGTCAGGTGCAATGTCAACAGCCAGTGGGATCCTCCATTACCTACATGTAATAGTAAGTTGCACTATAAC